CAAGGAAACGATAAGCACTACTACTTTGTGCATATCCAATGAATACACAATCCACTGTTTTAGGTCCTAACTTTTATACCTTAGGCGGTGGTACTACAACTTTAGCTAGGCACCCCCACACTCGTAAGTACTTATACGATGTCTTTCTTCCCATCCAAAGTTCATACGGTGTTTCATTCTTTTCTTTGCGAGGTATTTTATTTAAAAGATAGTTAGCCGACAAAATAGCTTCCCCCCACATTGACTGGTTTACACCCGAACTTATTATCATGGCATTGACCATTTCTTTCAAGGTGCGGTTCTTTCTTTCAGCAATTCCATTGGATTGCGGTGAATATGGTGATGTGAATTCATGACGAATTCCATTTTTTGCACAAAATTCAGCATAAGGAGAAACATATTCTCCACCCCTATCACTTCTAACTACTTTAATTCTCTTGTTGAGTTGATTTTCAACTTCATTTTTGTACAAGACAAACTTGTCTATTGCTTCGTCTTTACTCTTAAGTAAATATATGTAGCAATATTTCGTACTATCATCGATGAATGTACTGAAGTATTTGTTCCCACCTTGAGTAGGAATTGAGTTTAAATCACACACATCAGTGTGAATTAAATCAAGAGGTTCGGTGTTTCTTTTGATTGTTTGGAAAGATAATCTAGTTTGTTTTGCTTCAACACATGTGGGGCATTTGTGATTTGAGTCAATATTAAGTTTTGGTATGTATTCTATTTTAATTAATCGCTTAATAGAATTGTAATTTACATGTTTTAAGCGACCATGCCAAACATTTGAACACTTAAGCAAATAAGCAGAACTATGACTTTCATTATTCATTTTGTTTGTCACTATTACATTCAATTTGAACATGTCATTCAAGGCATATCATATTCCCACAAACATACCATTTTTGGACAAAACAAACTTGTCCGACGCAAACACTAGCTTAAAACCAAATTGGTTCAACAAACCACCCGACACTAGATTCTTACGAAGTTCAGGAACATACAAAACATCCCTAAGCTTCACTTCTTTCCCCGAAGTCATTTTTAGAATGACATCACCAACAT